ACTATAAAATTATATAATTTCATTACAATAAAACTGTTTTTTACGAACAAAACACAAAAAGTAAAAACATACTTACTCAAGATAGTATAAAGTTCATGGGTATTATCATCATTATATCCACTCAATTTGTTCATAAATTTTTCCACTGTCCAGGGTGGATCTGATCTGCTCACTTCTTTCCATGCATCATTTATGATTTTGTTTTTTATTTGCTAAGTCTTAGCTTGACCAATAGTAACTCGTAGCATACTTTTAGCTCTTTTGAGAACCGCAATAGCGCTTTCTTTATACTTTATTATGCCATCTAAGATATGATTACTTAACATTATTATTATTTTTTTTTTTTCTTTAAACGCTTACAACGATATTTTCTGTTTGGAAACTGAACTGCAATAATTTGTAACGTAAAATCAATGAATGAAAAGTACGCGATCCATTGGAATTTAATTTAAATACTAGTAATTCTTTAAAATTTAACATTAAAAAAAAAATTAAATTAAAAATATATAATTTTATTTAAAACAATACGTCGAATGGTAGTACTGTCAAAACATTTATTATTTAACTGAAAGTCGACTTTTCGGTCGTTTGGGTATTACACTGTGACTTTACATCTTATACGCAGTGGACGTATGTACCTGATGATGGTCGGGATACTACATCCAAAGGACCGAAACGTCGAGTTTTAATTAAATAATAAAAAGTTTTGATAGTACTGCCATTCGACGTATTATTTCAAATTTTATTCACTGTTATTCAACGCATCTTATAACATAATTGTATTGTAAATATCACGATTCTTTTTTTCGCGATTTTAATTCAAACAAAACAGTCATATTTAAATTGGCCCAAGAAATGTTTAAATAATATTAAAAATTCTTATGATAGACATGGATCTGTACGTTGATAGTGGGCCACTCAGTATACGAGGCGCCTATATTGATCAAATACGCTCAATCGCTCGCAATCACTGGAAAAAAGAAAAAAGAAAAAAAAAAAAAAAAAAAAAAACGAGTAATAGAAAATAAGTAAATGTATTTTGATCTGAATTTTCCGGTAATGCCATTCATTAACGTTAAAAATTATTCCTTACGGTGAAAAATAAAAAGTTTGAAGTTATAAGTTTAACAAAAATAAGTTAATAAAAATAATAAGTTTAAAGTTAAGGAGATTGTGACGTGGTATTTTCTGGCTCTGCGGCGCGAGGGCGCGTAACACAGAGCCGTCCCGATCGCCTCGCACAAAGAAAAACCAAGCGCTCCTTCTCCACCTCCTGGCCGCCTTGGTGCCACCTCGCACAACTCGGCTCTGCTGTCCGTACACCTGAAATCTGGATGCAAAAGGGGGTTCCGTCGCAGGCAGCTGGTCGGGAGCCAGCCGCTCCTCGGAAAAGGAAACAACTCGCGGGGAAATCAGATAACACGCACACAAGAGAATTGCCACAACGTATGGTTTATTATTTTTACACAACACTGGTACACTCACTGTAGGTCGCTGGGCGCTATCCGACGCTACGCCCCCCCCCCCCCGCCAGCCCACGCACACCCGGACGATTTAGGAGGATCTCCGCGCTGGTGAATCTACCCCCTCGGACGAAGAAAACCCTCGCGGCCCCCACGTCCCTCTCACTCTTGTACCGGGCAAGCTTCCACACCGTCACACGCGATCGCTCTCTCTCTCTCTCAAAACCATCAAACATCAATGCCCTGACTACCGCTTTTTTCGATAACTGAGTATCGTCCGTTAGCCCGAGTGCCTACCCGTCGAGCTTTGCCCCCCTTGCAAATATCGAACCAGCGCACACAGGCGCTCAGAGATTCATTTCATGTACAGGCATTATACCTGCTGAACTCGCTTGCGCCCTTTTCCTTTGATTTGTCGCTCACTGCTTTCAGGACTTTGCTTTTTGATAGGCTGTTGGAGTTTGATATACATGACTGGGAGGTCCGAGTCGTGGAGGAGGGTCTGCCTACTGATCAATAGTTATATAGTGTTTTTCTCTTCCCTCACCATACATCCTTTCCCGTGGTAAACTTGATATGAATATGTTAATATTTACCCCCTCTCAAACCTGACTTTGCCTTAGCACCGCTGTTGCCGTGTGGGTACCTGTAAGCTGCTTATACGATATCTTGTGAATTCAGTATTACTTTATTTCTTGTTAATTTTTACAGTTTAGTCTATATTACTTGCTTTTTTTTGGACCTTACCTTTGTTTAATTTGCCGAACTTGTATTTATATATTTGTTAATTTTCACCTATAGTGGCTGCATCATATGTTAAGAGAGCGATTTTTTACTGCATCATGCTTTTCGTTAACACTTGTACAATCCTGATAGGCCAGATGGGGTTTTACCCTAAGGTCAAAAATAAAAACCTTCAACCTTCAAACCTTCTCTCTCTCTCTCTCTCTCGCTACGGCACCAAGGAGCCTCCCGGACACCCTCCCCACGAATCCCCCAGAGATCCTAACTCTCTAGGCCTCGGCTTCGCGCCTCACTCACTCGCGCTTTCCGGCACAGCTCGGCGCCCCTTACTTACTCTACGCGTTTCGCGGCTTTACCTCGATACGGGCCATCTTTTCCTGCGTCCTGAACTTTCCTCTCTCGCTCTCGTGATTCGGTGCGTCCTCTCGTCCACCCTGGTCGTGCGGGATCGTCAGATGGTGGAGTGGTGCCGGAGGAAGATGTGGGCCTGGAGAAGGTCGCCTCGTTCACAACAGTCTCTTGCGGGACGATACGTGTATTAAAGCGCGCGCGTACTCAAAAGTCTTTACTGCTCGGGAGCTAGCACTGCAGGGCCTCTGGCTTGCGTAGATTTTCGCTAATTGCATCCGTCTCACTCATTCTCATTCACTCTGTCTAGACTGCCGCTGATTCGTCCTTAATCCTAGTCCATCAAACCCATTCGTCCATACCCTTTTACATTCCCCCCGTACATCCCGACGCTTATATTTCCACGCTACTTACAATTGGCGCCTTTCTTCAGCTTCAGATACAATACCATGTTAATGTTCTTAATTAAAGTTGGCGATTACAAACTCCACTCGCGTTTTACATATGATATAGGCGCATGCATACAGGTTTATTTCGAATTATAATATATTGCGCCTGTCTTTCTAAACCCTTCGTGCATTTCCATTTTCTACGAGCTTCCTTTGTTTTTTTTTGTTTCCTCGGTAACCGGCGTCCTCTGCTGCTTAGGCGCTGTCTCCTTCCCTCTCGAGTCACGCCGAAAATCAGACCAAACACACACAAAGGTATTAGAAAAAAAATAACGTTATCACTTGTCGTGATTGACTCGAATTCTGGCGCTCGTAGCTCTGAGGAGAAAAAGTAACCCCATCACAAGATTGTATCTTAAAAGGCAATTTTTTTAAAAAAAGTAGTTTTACACAGATCGTTTATTTTCTACCTTTATATACCAGGGAATTGGCTCTTTTGTCGTCGCACAAAGGGCTACAGAGTAAGTTAGTCTGCGCACCACTGTGTTTATTTTTATTTATCATTAGCGAATCCAATGTGTTGCTACTTAAATTTTTTTACATGTGTCACGTGGGAATGATATCGGTGAGGAGGTGCGTCGTGGAATTGACCAACACTGATTATATCAAGAGCTTTATTCAAGATACCGGAGTTAAAGGCAAAGTAGCGCGTGTGTTTCCCTCTAAGGCTCGTCGTGTACTCCCCTTGGTCTGTCCGATCTCCTTGGTTCGCCTGACCTCCTTGAACTGCCTGACTGCCGCGATTTGAGGCTCGCTGGGCCTTATATTAGCTTGTTCCCCACCAGTCGATGCCTTCTGGATAAAGAGCCTCACTGTTACTAGGGAGAGTCAAAATGATATCCTTTGTATATCGTACGTTACACGTCCGAGGCCGCGACGTCGTCGCCCTCGACGACGCTGACTTTTCAATCAATCCAGAGTTGAGCCTGTAGACTTGCTTACGATTGTACGTGGGTGTGCTGTGTTGTATTCTGTTGTCTGTGTTGTTAGTGTAGTTTAGTATTTCACACCCATCCTTTTATTCCATTGTAGAAAACCGCTGTTCCCTTTACATTAATACTTTCGCTCTTCTCATCATTCAGTCCTCTCTCATTGTGTGTTGAGTGTATAACAATATTGATTTTGTGTGCGTTTTGCCTTATATTACAATTATATTTGAAATTACCACGAATTCGGCATTCGCTTAAGACTACTTTACACTAATGGTTGTCTCACATACAAAATAATAAATTTGGAATAATACAGTACATTATTTTACATAGAGTTTCTATATTAACTTTCGCATGCATTTATTTGCGAAAACAAATTTCGTACAAACTTCTTATTATAGTATTCAAGTGAGAAAAAAAAAAATCTTTTTGGATCTCGTCCTGCGGACTGCGACCCCTGATACAGTCGAGCGACTCCCGGCGCTCATCCTCTTTTCCTTATTACTATTATTATTGTTATTATTATCCTTATCATCATTATAGTTGTAGCTACAATCATCATATACGTGTTTTTTTTTTTTTATATTAATTTTACTTTTTATTTTTTTTTTATATATAAACTTAAAACGAATTTCCCAATGTTACATATTTTTAAATAAAGAAAAATTCTTTCTTAGTGTCATCCTACGGACTGCGCCCTCCGATTTAGTCGAGCGACTCCTGGTGCTCATCCTCTTTTTCATAATATTATGATTATTGTTGTTATTATCCTTACAATATTACTACTGCCTTATTATTTATATAATTATTACAGAGTTATTGTTGAACATAGTTACTATTATCGTTACAATATACTCGTCATTTTACTTATGTATTCCTTATTATTTTATATTTCTTAATTTTATTTATTTTTCCTTCGATAATAAAAATCGCTGTACTACGTCACGTGTTTTACGTGGACTCGCGAACCTTGAAGGATGTTCCCGTGCTGGTTATTGGGGTGTTAATTAGGCGTCTTGGAGTCTTCTTCTGCATTTCGATGGATGTTGGCTGCGGCGCTGACGAGTTTACTGCCATGGTCCCATCTCCTTCAGAGTTGTTTCCACGCTGACTACCTGCGAACATTCTATAACACATGAATAGTTGGAGTTTGATATACATGACTGGGAGGTCCGATGAATTTATCAACCCTGTAGTATAAAAAACTGGTAACTATTAGTTGCTAACTCTGGTTCCTGCCTAAGAGCACCCGTTTTAGTCCATGTGCTAAATATTTGCCCAGACACTATGTATAATCTATCGATAGCTATCTATTTAAGTGTATTACCATATGAATTTTTTTATTTTTCCCCTTTTTTATCAGCGTTGAGCTTTGAGTGTGGCTCTCTCCTTACATGTAGAATATATAATAATAAACGTATCTTTTAATTATCTTGCTTTCCTTCTTGTATAAATATTATTGCCTATTTATTATTTTTATTTATGTAAGTACTTTTTGTATTTTCCAAAATTTTCTATCGCAAATGTTTTTTTTTTTTTACGTCATTACTTATTTCACATCGGCTTTCCATGCGCGTACGAGTCGGTTATTGAGTATATGAATGGTTGGTTATAAAATTGTGCGCCCCATTTTGCCTACGGGATCATATAACATATTCAAGAACACTGTAGAGTCAAATAGTTTGACGATTGGTTGTCTTACATTTCACTTGTATTTTTTTGGTCGAGACAAGCTTGGAGGTATGAATAAAAAAAAATCATTTTATGGTGGTGTATTCCGCATTTAAGTTTTGACCTGTGTCGTACATTTTTCTAGTATTTTTCATCCATACATTTTTTTATATAATGTTTACCTCATACTCTTCCTCTCTCTTTTCTTATGGGGTCAGCTTTAGGGAAGGAATTATAAGGATATTTTATTTTGTATGCTTCCACTCTCGACGCCGTAGATGTATTTGCTGATTTAGTTGGCTGCTTTTTCGCTATTTTTTTTTACAAAAACAAAGCTTCTATTTTTCCTCTATAATATCTAGAGAAAGTGTACTTTCTAAGATGATTGCGCGGCTGACTGAGTTCTCAAAGCTGAACTTCAACTCTACTCGTGTTACAACAAGATTTTTTTCCTTTTTTTTTGCTAGTAGAATCTCCGTGTGTGGTCCTTATGGATGCAATTTTATTTTTTTTCCTTCCTGCAAAAGCAGAAGCAGCTTGCGTACACTGTTGCGCGATGTCGTTATGTAAGTAACAGCTTGTGTGATTGGAAGCGTCTTTTATTTTTTTCAGTTAAGCATACGGGTTATAGATTTGTATGCCTTCTCTCCAATATCGACGACCCTGTTTGAATGAGGGTGGCCTGGTAACGTTGTCCTTCGATGGCCAAGTTCTCAGAAACACTGCCGCACACTGGGTGTGGTCGATTATTCCTCTCGATAGTCGAGCGGTGATCTGGGTGCATTATTTTTAGTCTCCCTTACATGAACGATTAAGTACTGGTCCATGTAGTTTTTGCAAAATTTGAGGTGGACGGTTTGACGAAGTCTGTTCGTTGCTTTGGACGTGGCAGTCGATTTGATACTTCATGACGACTGTATTTGTCGTTTCAGGCGTTTTGATTGTCAGCGGATCATGACGAAAGGAGTAGGATTGTTACTGATGGAGAATGACGGAAGGGGGGAAGAGGAGGTTAAACCTCTCGTACTCGATATGAGCTCGTGGGCCTGTTAAAGAATACATTTTTTTCTGCGATTGCTTAATTTATTTTACTTTCATTCCTCCATGCTAATATGTACATTTGTCCTGTGAATTAATTCTATGCTTATTAGAGTATGTCTCCTCATTAAAAAGTGCCACACGCGCTCCTCATTCGCTTTGTTTTTTTTTTCAATTCATATAATGCAAATTCTACTATTAATTTATGTTATTAATGCTTTGTTCATGCGTACCTCCCCATTATATTTTTTTTCTGTGAGCTTGCATATCTGAGTCTAATAAATGTATTTATCTAGTTCGCGGCGCATCCGGGGGCCGCGAAAAATTGTATTGTAAACCTAATTGATCCCTCCTTACTGTTACATTTTCGCGCTGCGTCCGGAGGCCACGAAAATATTAAGCGGAGTCGAATGTTCAAGTCTGTCTCTTCGTGTCTCTTACTATGTTCGCATTCTCTGGCGGTGCCTTTACCATACATGCTTTTTTGATTTTATCTACGCGGGATACTCTTATTTCGTCACTTCTCTGTAGTTTTACGTTTTTGTTGATATAATCAATGCCAGTTATTTCATACAGACCCTCGTATTGCGAATCATATTTACCCTTCAATGGCTCTTTCAGAACATAAACCATTCCTCCCTTCAAGAAATATCTTGTATTCAGTTTGCAGTCATAGTAATACTTCGATCGGTATTTGGTCTGAACTTGGTTCATTGCTGCGACGGTTCTTATCTCTGTCAGGGTCTCAACTAACTCTTTGAAATATTCATTTGAAATTTGGCCCTTCGGCGGCAGTTTGGTACTGGATGGTGTTCTGGCTCTTTGCCCAAAAACTGTTCGTGCGGTGACTATCCCGTACTCTGATGGTCCATGGTATTGTATGAGTGCATGCACATAGGTAAAAGTTCGTCCCAGTGATCATTTTGTTCTACATACGTCTTGATGTACTCCGAGTATGATGTATACGTTCAATGGGGCCGTTTGTTTGTGGGTGGAATGCTGTGCTGCCCATTTTGTCTATTTTGAACAGCCTTGCAAGTTCATCCATACTTTTGTTCATAAAATGAGTGCCTCGGACCGATAATAAATGTTCCGGTGGTCCAAAGTACGCTATAAACTTATTTGTTATCGCTCTTACCGTTTCTTCGGCTGTTGCTCTCTTCACAGGTGCGAGAACTATAAATTTTGTTAGCCAGTCTTGTATGGATAAAATATGTGTATATTGATGGTTCACTAATGGGCCCGTAGAAGTCCATTCGCTACGTGCACAAGCTGAAAGAGCGATCGCAGCAATACCTGTGCTAATACGTGAAACTAAACGATATGTTTGTCTTCTGCTAGCAGACAACTAAGCATTACTATCATCAGAAAGTTGTGTGTTTATACATCGACAACCATTCTATGGGTTAAATTTTTAACAAAATTATGAGTAGTATGTACATAATTTACTCATGCATGTTCATTTTAAAAACGCAATGAAATACATCGTATACTGTGTATTTCTTAGAGTTTTTAGCTGGGGCCTGATCCTCTAAGCGTATCGTGTGAACGTGTGTACATACTGTGTGAACACGCCGGTATAGGGCTAACGGAGCTCTCTGATTGGTCAGAGGAGGTCTGCGTTGACTAATTGCAAACTAATAAAATGTATCACGTATCACACAGTACACGGACTTGTGTTGAAGTAATACTCAACCGCTTATAGTGCTTGTAGTACAAATTTTGTCTTTAGTTATTCACGTAGGATTGTACCACTTGAGACATTGTATTAATTCGTGGTATAATAAACACAGAACCTTTCGTGTATCTATCGAGGTGCTGTGTTCCTATAGGTATCAAGCACATGTCGCGAATATTGCCTTCTACTGTGCCCGACCAATAGTTCTCGTTTTTCCCTTGATGGCGCTGCTTCAAAATTGTGCACGTAGCGAATAGAAATTTTTTCGAACGGTCTACTGGGTGTGTCGGTGATGAGCATGGCTTGTTTCGTTTTAATACGGACAAGTTTTTTCGATTGGTATGATGTACAACCCAGGATGACTTGTCTTACATCTGGGCGCGTGTTTCTCCAGTAGTAGTCTTTGGCGATCCTGTTATATGTCTTATTCATTTTCCTATGTCTACCTATTGCCGCTTCGTGGTATTCTCTAATGATTTTAAATCTTTGATCTGCTGGTGGAATTACTAGAGTGTTTGCGTAGAGTACTGCTGCTAGTCTAATATCTTTGAATATTTCCTCAAAGGTATCGATAAAGTATCCCCACTGGGTCAGATTGAGGATCACTAGGTCCCTCACGATACCAATCGTTTTTATTTCATTTGCTACTATTACCTCTTTAAGGGCCTTAATACATTTTTTAATGTTTGATTCAAGCACAGTTTCTTCAAAATGCTGCTTTACATGAAACTGAAACTGAAACAGCAACATGACTGAAGATGAACCCGTCAAAAGAAACAATAGTAGCGAATTGTGACACACCATTACCTAGCGCTGTAAATAAAAATCAAGAGTTAATTACAGAAGAGCAAAGAACTGATACAGGAGAAAAAGAAGGAAGCACGAAACAAGCGAAGGAATTTTCAATAGACAAACAAGAAAAGCCGAATATACATGACTTATTGGAGGGAAGGGTTGATGAATTGCGGGCTCTAGTTATGATTGACATTAAAAAAAGCAAGATGTAGAAGGCAGACCAGGAATGAGGATAGATATGTGGGAGCCTAGCGAGATAGTAACGACAAAGCAGCGCTACGCACAAGAGACGAAGTAAACGAAAGTACACATAACGAGGGGAGTATGGCTCAGTCAGAGAAAAATGAGAACACGGTACGAAACGAACGCGATGTACAGCTAGAAAAAGTTGCACCCCAGATAAGTGGCTAGAATATTTAAAAGACGAAACGCGAAGGGAAACTTGTGAATGCACACAACCTGGTAGTACTCTGGCAAAAATATCGGAAATACCATCCGACCCATCCGAAAACTGTTTGTTCTACAGCCTTATATGGTTGTACGAACTCGATATCTCAACTACTGAGTCACAAACGATTCTGCGCAATTCTAATTTGTTACAAAAATGGAGAGAGTTGGAAGAAATAAAGGAAATTTTGGAGTCACAAACAATGTATGGGAACAGCGACTGTACTTATCTGTTCTCTCAAGAATTTAAGAAAAATATTTGTGTACATTTTGCACTAATAGGAATTATATTTACTCTCATTACATTGCTACGACAGACTGTGAATTTGGCCATTTACATCTAGAAGGCGTAGGTTAAAATGCACATGGATGTGTATCGTTTCTGCCTACATCGAGTTATTGTGTATGGAACCGCACATGTCATGTACGCGAGACCACGTTTGGTACGAGAGAGACTTCAAAGAGAAATTCATTGTTATTATCCAAATGCCGTGAATGTCGGCTATAGTGTCAATTGAAATCTCCCTCGTGACGAACTGATCTCCAATTAGTATGTAGAGTGAAATAATCGGGATGCTCCGGAAGAGTCGCGACATGCACGGAGACATCTATTGTACGCAACTAGAAGTTAGAAAGTAGAAGGGGAAACCGGAACCGTAAGCGCAGGGGGTGCGTCGGTGCGACGGCGTAGAGGCAGTTGCGAACCGACTATTGAGCGGTAAGGTGCGTAGACGTCAATCTTAGCGATAAGTACTTTGTAACCCTTTAAAATAGAATACAACCATTAATCTCAATCTCGTCTTTGTTTTCTTATCCTTTCATTGTCCCTTTCATTTACATTTAAGTAAGTTAATCATTCTGAAAAAAAAAAATATTACATATATCTTATATTGTTCGAAAAAACTTTTTTGACTTATTTATTACAGTGACATGTAATCCTAAATAGAAAGAATTGAAGCTTTTATTATCTAAATTTCCAAAAAATACAACACCAATCGATATTCCAAATATTACAGTTCGGTTATTCCACACAAAATTAAAATCAATTTTCGATGACATTATTAAAAAAAATCTTTTTGGTAAAGTATTAACATACGTTTACCCTATTGAATTTCAAAAACGTGGTAGCCACATGCACACTTATTAATAACATTACATCCTGATGAGAAAATCATAACACCTGAACAAATTAATAAATTTATTTCGGCTGAAATTCCTTCGAATAATATAACACTTACGAAATTAGAGATTAAACACATGCTTCATGGCCCTCATACAGATAAAAGTCCATGTATAAATGTTTCTCACAAAAAGTGTACAAAAAATTTTCCAAAAACTTTTACAAATCAAACGACATTTAAAAATAACGGTTAACCACAATATATGAGAAGAAATAATATGTCTGAAAAACATATTTACAAAAGTCTAAACATTGATAAGACTTATGTTGATAATTCAATGGTTGTTCCATGCAATAAATTTTTGTTAATGAAGTATAAATGTCATTTAAACGTTGAATATTGTGCATCAATACAAAGCATAAAATATATTTATAACTACATACATAAAGGTAGTGACAGAGCATACATTAAAATAGGAAAATCAAACGAACTAAGTGAAGAAATAGTAGATGAAATTAGTAGTTACGTAGATGCTAGATATGTAAGTCCAATGGAAGCAGCTTGGAGACTTCAAGAATATCCAATTTGTGGTAGAAGTCATACAGTTGTAAATCTAGCTGTTCATCTTGAAAATAAACAAAAACTCATATTTGAAGAAAATAATATCAAAAATGTAATGAAAAATTATCAAACACCCCTTACAGCTTGGTTTGAGTTAAATAGAGTAGATGATTTTGCAAAATCACTAAAATATGTTAACATTCCAGAACATTACATTTTTGACAATAAACTTAAAATTTGGAAAAAAAGGAGAATTACACTGGAAAATATTGCTGTAGGTAGATTAAACATAGTATCTTCAAAATATCATGAACGCTTTTTTTTAAAACTTATTTTAAATAAATTACATGGGGCTACATCGTTTGAAGACGTTAAAAAACATAATGGAATAACATATAAAAATTTAAGGGATACTGCAATTGCAATGAGTTTAATAGAACATGATTCTGAAATCGACAATATTTTGAAAGAAGCCATAACAATTATGTTTCCGTACCAGTTAAGACAATTTTTTGCTTGGTTTTTGATTTCAGAAAACATTCAAGGAGATAAAATATAGAATAAATATAAAAAACATTTTACGGAAGACTTCGATAATGATAATAATAATTGTGCTCTTCTACATATTAATCAAATTTTGGTATCGGAAGGTAAATCATGTGAGTCTTTTAGTTTACCAACACCAACCATTAGCAACTATATAAATAATTGCAATATTGAGGAAATATCTTTCAGTAAAAAAATGTTCGATATAATGTACACAAATTTAAATGAAGGTCAAAGAAAAATGTTTAAAACTATTTGTAAACAAGATGAAAAAGTACATTTCATAGATGGTCCTGGTGGATCCGGAAAAACCTACTTATATCAAACACTTATTTATTACTTTATTTCTAGAGGTAAAAATATATTTCCGCCCTCGTCTATCGAGGTGCTGTGTTCCTATAGGTATCAAGCACATGTCGCGAATATTGCCTTCTGCTGTGCCCGACCAATAGTTCTCGTTTTTCCCTAGGTGGCGCTGCTTCAAAATTGTGCACGTAGCGAATAGAAATTTTTTCGAACGGTCTACTGGGTGTGTCGGTGATGAGCATGGCTTGTTTCGTTTTAATACGGACAAGTTTTTTCGATTGGTATGATGTACAACCCAGGATGACTTGTCTTACATCTGGGCGCGTGTTTCTCCAGTAGTAGTCTTTGGCGATCCTGTTATATGTCTTATTCATTTTCCTATGTCNGGTAACTCGTACCTTGCGATCACACTCGTGCTACGCACTCGTGTGCTCAACTGGTACTCGTTCCCGTCAACTCCGGCACTCGTGTGAGTCAATCACTACTTGTGCGGGAAATCGTCTTTTCCGCACTTGTTATGTAAATAACTATTGTCAATGGCTTGGACAGGAATTGCATCTGTATTACTACCAAAAAGTATGACCAGTCATAGAACTTTTCGTTTACCTTTAGACTGAGATAATATTGAAAGTGTATTTTTAGAATTTGAAACTGAAAAAAAAAATTAAGGGAAGTTGATTTAATAATATGGTACGAGGCTTCTATGATTCCGAAAAAAGCTCTAGAAATCGTTGATAGAACGTTGAGAGACTTGTGTAATACAAAACTTTGCTTTGATGATAAATTAATAGTATTAGGAGGAGATTTTCGACACATCCTTCCAGTTATAAAAAACGGTAATAAAACAATAATAATAGAAGAAACTATTAAATCATCATTTTTATGGAACCTCTTCAAAATTTTAGGATTACAAAATAATATCCGTTTAGTAATAACGAATTTTCAAACTTATTGTTAAGAATTGGAGAAGGGAACATAGAAACATTTAACATTCCTAAATCCTGGATAACAGATGATGTCTGTACTAAAATATTTGGTAATTACAGTAACTGTTTTGACAATAAAGTGATACTAACTTCACATAATGATAAAATTTTTTTTTTAAACAATAAGATTTTAAGTAAATTACACGGGGAAACTAAAACTTATTACAGCATCGATACTGCAATATATAAAGGTGTGGATAAACCAGATGATAATATTTATATAAATTTTCCCGTAGAAATGTTAAAGAACATTCGTGAAGGCTTGCCACCTCATGAACTTAAATTAAAAATAGGTACAATAGTAATAGTGGGGCGGCCTGGTAGGTATCCGTAGCCTCTTATATGTCCTCGACTGCACCAAAGTTTTTTCTCCGTATTTTTATCTCCTGAACACGATGCTGTAGAGTGCGAGCCCGAAAAAGTCCGGAGTCGATTGTTATTGACAAATTATATAAACAAATTTGAAAAATTAAATTTTTCGAGAAAAAAAAAATTGCTCCTTATTTTTTGGCCCATTTTGAACAAAGATGTATATACCTTAACCCCACAGATTTCGAGTAAAAAATTCCTCAAGTTTGGAAAAACGCGTTTTTTACGGTTTTCAAGTACGTATTACTCAGCTGCTATTGCATTATTTTCAACCCATCTGGGCTTAAATTTTACCTTGAAGTATGTACTTTAGGATGAAAAAAGATTTACAAACGTTAGCTGCTTAACAACTGCGGTATTGTTGATCTACGCATGAACGTTTCAATAGCTTATGTGCGGCGTGCGTATATCTTTGGGGCGGCCAGGTAGGTATCCGTAGTTATATTAATGATACTCTAAATTTAACTTAAGTTTATGTACGTAAAAAGAAGAATTGTGTATTAAAGGACTATACAAGTAATGATGATATAATAATTATGCGCACCAGGATATGTGTATATATTATTTGGTTTCAAAATATTGTTAACTCCATATAAATTGGTTTTTAAACGTACTTAGT